TTATTTGCGAGAGATGTGAGCAGGGGAGGGGCAGAGAGAGAGAGAGAGAGAGAATCCCAAGCAGGCTCTGTATTGTCAGCACACAGCCTGACGTGGGGCTCGAACTCCCCAAACTGTGAGATCATGACTTGAGCTGAAACCGAGAGTCCGACGCTTAACCGGCCGAGCCCCCCAGGCACCCCAGAATCTCCTCCCTTTTTCCGGGTGCACAGCATTCCATCGTGTGGGTACATCACATCCTGCTTCATTCTGTCACCCCTTGCCGGGCACCTGTGTTGTTGGCCACCTTTTGTGAATCGTGCTGCTGTGGAACATGCGAATGCGAAAGTTGACCGCGTAAAAAGCCTCGCCTCAGGCTCTTCACCGGTGTTAGAAGCAGGCGACCTGGGGCCCCACTGCTTTTGCCCTTGTGCGGGGCGGAGGGTCGGCTGTCCGCGGAGCCCGCTGTGTGCCCGGCTCTGGGCTGGAGACCTGGTGTTCATCATTTCACCCTTCCAGGGGCCCTGACATTTTGGGGAAGCAGGCTCAGAGGGGTCACTGGGTCTTGCCTGGGTCACAACACTAGCAAAGTTGGGGGGATCCCCCCCACCTGCCTGCCCCAAAGCCGTCAGGCCCTGTCCCCATGCCACTTACTCTTCACATGCCCGGGATCGGACGTGTGGTTGGTTCACAGCGACTGGGGTATTGAGAGAGAATGCGTGAGAACGTTTCGCAGAAGAGAAGACCTGGGCAAACCGGTGACCGATGGAGAGGCCGGTCTGTGGCATGTGATGGGGACGGTTGCCCAGTGTCCTTAAGCAGGGCTGTCAAAGCAGCAGGTGCCCAGGCCCCACCCATTGAATCGGATCTTGCGTCTGGAGGCTGGAGTCCCAGGAGCAGCCGGGCGCCAGAGGAAACATAGTGTGACAAGGGCAGGGGTGTTAGTCCTGGGGGTCCCCTGTGGCGGATGTGACTGCAGGCACTCTCCTGGAGGGCCTCTAGTGTGGGGAGCGAAGGATCCTCTAGGATCCGAGCCCTGTGACTGTAAAGTGCGCCCTCTACCCAGCACGTGCACGCACGCACACACACGCGCACACACACACACAGACACAGGCTGGTGCTGTCTAGACCCGAGGTCATGGTGCCTCCAGCTCCAAGCCTGTGGTCTGGTTTGTTGGATCCTATTGTGTGCTCTAACACCACAACCCTGGCCATTACCTGCTTGTCAGCCTTCTGTCCCCTTGAACCTGGCCGTCGACAACAGCGTTGCTTTAAATTCCGGACTTGCGTGTGTGCGTGCTGGGAGGGGCCTGCACCCCCAGATTCCGCGGCTGAGGACACAGCTCTGCCGGGAGCAGAGGGGCGCCCGCCTTTGTAGGCCCCGTCGCTGTGATATTCCAGCTTTGTCCATCTCAGCAGCCGTGGGAGGGTCTGGAAGCATCCAGAAGCTTCCGAGTCTTACTCGTGTGTTCCAAAGAGCAGCGAAAACAAGACTGGCAGGGCTTGGCGGGCCCGAGAAGTCCTTGGCGAGAGGGAAGAGCCGGGGGATGTATTCTCGGTTCGGAGCATTTTCCCTCGGACTCTTTCTGGGCAGCAGGCCATTTAGGAATGTTTGTTAAAGGCTCGGAAAACAGGAGTTGATTCCTCCCTGTTTCTGCTGCCAACGTGCGAGGCCACGGAATTCTGTTCTCACCAACCCTTGTTTTCCTCTCTCTTCCTGCTCCACAGTGAGTGACCTACAGGAAGAAGGCAGACATGCCATCGACTCGCCGATGTCCCCTGCCTCGGTGGACGTCCACCCCGAAGACACTGTGCTAGGTAAGGCGGGTCCTGCCGGCCCCCTGTCGTGAGCGAGCTGGCCTTCCGCGGCGTGTGCCCGGGGTTGGTGAGGCTGACAGAGGGCACCGTCGGTCGGCGTGGTCTGCGGATCTCACATCATCCCAGCTGGCGTTTGAGAGTCGGGGCTCCTGGCTCAAGGTCACGTTTAGAAAAGGCCGTAGGAAAAACCACATCTTCCTCTGAAAGTTTCCACCTCTCTGATTTCAGGTGTGAGCTTTGTTAGCATTTAAGTACGACGAGGCCCACAGATCAGGGGCTGAGCACCCCCAAAACGATGGCCTGTTACACGCACAGTTCCCGGGGTGGGGGGGTTCCTGCCAGGGGTGGCTGGGAGGCAGGAGGGGAGAGCGGGGCCTTTCTCCTTGCGGGAAGGGCTGGGTGGGGCAGGGTAGGCAGGTTTGGCTCGGCGAGTTGATCATCCATGGGCTCCAGAGGCTCTCTGGAGAGGTCTGTAGCTGCCCCCGGGTGATTAGGGACATGTGGGCAGGGGGTGTGAGAACCCAGTCAAAGAGGTGGCTGGGGATGGGCTCCGGGTTGGTTGGTTTGCCCAGAAAAGGCAGTCACGGGGGACTTGTTTGCCATCTTAGGAACTGGCCAGCCCGGGTAGGGGCAGTAGTATCTCTAGGTCCACAGGCCCCGAGGTGTCACAGCATTAGCGAATATACAAAGGAAGAAACGTAATTAGTACACCCTCATCTGTGCGCGAGCCAGAGCTATCCCAAAGCCACGGGCTTGCTAGGGAGGACCCAGCGAGTGGCAAGGCCCCTGCACCCACCTCCTTGGGGCCACGTCACAGCCGGCACTTGAGGAGGCGACAGGCGACGTGTTTTTCTCAACGCACGTTTTGGGATCTGATCAATCTGAGAGGCCGTTGTGGAACATTCCGTGTATTTCCAAACTCTGGTTCAAAGGGAAGTCCTGGTCGGTCCCTCCCTCGTGGTTTCCACGACAAGGGCAGGCCAGCGGGAGCTTGTGGAGAAATGCAGACACAGGTTCAGCCTGGCAGGCTTGAAGCCCAGTGCTGGACGAGCCCCCTGAGATCCTGCTGGGGTCCACTGTGGCCCCTCTCTCTTCTTGGAAGAGTGTCACCCCTCACTGTCCTGCTTTTGGCTGTCTTCAGCCAGGCTGAAGTTGCTGTCCAGGCAGATGCTCCCGGGTGACCCTTTCCAAGGGGAACGCGGGGACTAGCTTGTGGGTCCGGAAATTAGCCTGACACAGAACAGGGTTCTTCACCTCGGCACTGTGGACATTTGGCACTGGGTCATTCTTTACTGTGGGGGCCTGTCCTGTGCGTTGTGGGTTTGAGCATCCCTGACCTCTGCCCACTAGATGCCACCAGCTGGGACGACCAAAAACGTCTCCAGACATTGCTATAGCCCCCCTGGGGTGGTGAAGGGACTGTCAGTCCTGTTGAGAACCCTGCTTTAAACCAACAGGAGGGCTAGAAGGTTAATTGGAAACATCTGTCAGGCTGTTGTTTTGTTGATAATGCCTTGAACTTGCCTTTGCCTGGGCCCTAACCCTCCTGTTTTGCCATCTTTATAAATAGCTGCTCTTGGGCAAAGGAGTTGGTACCCTTCAGTTTGCTTCCTAACATTCTACTTGTCCCTGAAGCATGGGTGACCTCGATAAGGACTGACCTTGTTAGCACCTGGAACTGAGATCTGAAGGCCAGAGGGGTTGTGGAGTGGGGGGAGAGGGTGTCAGATGGACAGCGGCATGTACCAAGGCCCTGCGGCAGGCAGTGGTGAGGCTTGCTGAGGGGCAGGGGAAAGCTGGGAGGGCTGGAGTGGAGAGTGCCTGGGACAGCTGGGGAAGCCAGGCTGCAGAGGGCCTTGGAGGCCACGTGGAGGGGTCTGGCCTTGGTCCCAGGAGTACCAGGAGGCTGCTGAGGGCCCTAGCAGGGACATCACGAGGGACCCCTGTGTGGTCCCCCGTATGTCACCTGGAACATCCCTCTCAAGCATCAGATCTGCACGACTCCAAAAATAGTTCTCCACTTTGTCACGTTTTAAAATTTCCTGCTGTGAAGCCAGTTCCACTCAAAGCCGTTTCGTTCCCTCCGGCACGGACTGGGCCCCAGGAGCCTGGTCATTGTCACCTGTGTGTCCTGCGGGCCCACCCCTGCCCAGGCCCCGAGGCCTCCCTCTCCGCTTCCCCCGCACGCAGCCAGCCGTGCCTCCCACACCCCCTCTCCTTCCGGGCCCTGGTCGGTTTTGTTCTGGTTTGTGTCCGGCCCCCGTGGATCTTCCTTATTGTCACATGAGTTCCTCAGGGGCAGCTTGCTGGGCCCCAGCGTCCTTCGATCAAGGCCTGAACGTGGAGCGAAAACAAGTGACAAGTAAACAGAACAGGGATGAACACGTTTTATTGTGAAACCTCACCCACCGTCACCCACACTTATTTTCGCTATTTTTTCCTAATTTTTTGGTCCGTACTGTTTTACGTAGTGGTGAGCTTTCTCAGCATACGTATCTATTAACGGTGGCTGCGGGGAGCTCTTCCCACAGATCCGATTCGGGCCGTGTGCGTGCCGTCCTCTCCCTTCGTCCCCAGCCAGGGGCGGCTTCCTGCTTCCCGTTCAGGAAGGGGCCGGGCCCATCCACCTCCCAGAAGTCGGCTGCCCGCTCCGGCTCGTGTGACTTGACGTGGCACGTGCGGGGCCAGTGGCTCTCTGCTCTCAGTCCGTCTGCCCCGCTTTGTGCGAGGGGAGCCGGCCGTCCCCGTGCCCCCGCACACCCACTAGTGCTGACCGTGACTCTTTTCCCCGGCAGAGGAGAATGAGGAACGCACAATGATCGACCCCACGTCCAAGGATGACCCCAAATTCAAGGAGCTGGTCAAGGTAAGGAGCGCCTCGGTTAGCACGTTCCATTCGCGCTGCTGGGCTGCATCGGGGGGCGGAGGGTGAGGGGCTGAGCCCAAAAGATGGTCCCCGGGGTCAGGGAGGCAGTGATGGCAGGGCGGGGGGGGGGGGGGGGCCCGGGACTGCTTCTGAGCCACGGCGGTGCCTTCTGCGTCCTCCGCCTGATTTTCTGAGCTCCGGCTCAGCGGTGAGGCCGTATTTGTGGCATTTGTGTGTGTCCTCGTGTGGCCTGTGGTTTTGACTGCTCTGATCTAAACCACAACAGGGCTTCAAAAGGCAATCCTTCTGACTTTGAGCAAAGGCTCGGGGCGCTGACAGCGTGCTCCCCGCCCCGGGAGACCCGGCTCCGGGCTGCCTGGGCAGCCGTGGAAAAGGTTTCTCTTCTGCAGCTCGAGGTCGGCTCGGGTGACCCCCCCAAGGCGCTGAAAACACCGTGCACGGCCAGGCCAGGCCACAGACATAGTCTATTAAAAGCGCTCCTCAAACACGTTTCTCCACCTCAGCCTCCGCCGTCGGACCCAAGGTGCCTGCTACACGGCCGTGTTCTCACAGGGGCTGACGCAGAATAAAGAGAACCTTGGCAAATTGTGTCCTTTTAAAAACTGACCTTGAAGATGTCCGTTTTAGGACCCACCCCCAAGTGTGGATTCTTAACAACTTAAATGGCCTAGTTTATTTTTTTGAAGAAGTTTTTTCTCCCATCCCACACAAGAGAATTGGTGAGAAAAGTGACCCTCTCTTTCAGCCCCCCAAGACGTTACTACAGGGGATGTCGAGGTAGTGGAAAGGGTTCGGCTTCTCCGGAGAAACGGAACCAACAGAATAGAGCCATCCGTCTCTCTGTCTGTCTGCCTGCCTGTGTATCTCTGGGACGTTTATTGTGACAAATCGGCTCACACGATTAAAGTCCCACACTCTGCCGTCTGCAGCCGGAGACCCAGGAAAGTGGCTGCTGTCGTTCCAAGGCCAGCGAGCTAGGAGAACTGAGGACAGGGGTTGATGTGCAGAAGAGGATGATTCCAGCCTTCCTCCACCTTTTCGCGCCATTCGGGCCCTCCTGTGGATCGCACGGGAGGTCCCCTCTGCAATGGGGAGGCTCCTATGCTTTGCTGGGTCCTCCAATTCAAATGCTAATCTCTTCTGTTAACACCCTCCCTGAACGACGGAAGCACGGAAGGAGGGAGGCAGCCAGAAGGAATGTTGAATCAGACCTTCGGCTGCCCGGCTGCCCACGGCTCAGTCCTGCTGACGCTTAGTATTCACCACCACTGGGCTTTCTCCTTCTCTGACATGTGAGCAAAGCTTGAGAGTTCACAGCTTGAAACACCCCCAGGGGAGCCGGTGCCCTCCTCCCTTTGACACGGGGACAGAGAGGAGAGGCACCCCGCCCCCCCCCCCCCACCGCCAGCTTACCGTGTGTGTTAGTGAGGTGCGCCTTCACTAACTGTGAATTAAGCTGCGAATCTCCACAGGAGATCGGCCGCGTGGCCGAGCATCGACTGGGTGTTGTTCCAAAGCCGTGGCCAGCTCCGTGGTGCCCCTGCCTCGCCCCCCTTCTGGTCACTCTTGCTGGTCTGGGGTTGCGTCCCCCGGCAAGGGAGCAGCAGCGAGCTTGGCCCCGGGCGCTCTTTCTGGGCAAAAGGGGCTCAAGTGCAGACGTAACACAGGGGTCTTGGTTTGAGAGAGGATCCTGGGATGCCCGGGTGGGCCCAGTCCCGGCACAAGGGTCCTTAGAAGAGGGGGAGATTCGACCACGGGTGTAGATACAACCTGATGATAGGAAAGCAGGTGCTGCGTTGCGGGCTTGGAAGGTGCAGGAAGGAGCCATGTGCCAAGGAGTGCAGGCGTCGTCTGGGAGCCGGTGAAGGCGAGGAGACGGATTCTCCCCTGGAGCCTCCAGAAGGAGCTGGCCCTCCCACCACCTTGACCTTAGCCCCGTGGAGCTGATTCTGGACTTCTGACCTCTAGGGCTGGAAGGGGATAATACGCGGGTACCGTGGAGGTCATTTGTTAGAGCAGCCATAGGAAACCTCGTCACCAGCCTACGTCACCTCCCTTCCCCAAGGTGCCTCCTCCTGGCTACAGCTGCCGGTTCGTCCCCCAGTGCCCCTGGGTCACTCTGTCAGTTCCTGGAAGGGCCAGCTGCGAGACGCTTCGATGTGGCCGTCCCGCCAGCTTGGAGCACACGTGCCAAGAGATGGGCCATTTCCGGAAGGTTCCGCCTGCTTTCTGGCTGCAGGCAGCATCTCGAGGCAGGCTTGGGGGCGTACTTTTTTACTTCCTCAAGCGTTTTCCAAATAAGCGTTAACACGGCAAGCAGGACGGTGGCACTGGGTGGGCATCGGCGAAACATTAGCTGCCGTGGTGGAGTGTGGAGGGGCCGACGCAAAGTGTTCGTTCTCACTAACTGCGGCCTCCCTTTTTTTTTTTTTTTTTTTTAAAGTTTATTTATGTTGAGAGAGTCAGAGAGCAAGTGGGGTAGGGGCAGAGAGAGGGGGACACAGGATCTGAAGCAGGCTCCGTGCCGCCCGCACGGAGCCTGACTTGGGGCTCGAACTCGCAAACCTGAGCTGAAGTCGGATGCCCAACGGACGGAGCCCCTCCAGGCGCCCCGGTAACCACAGCCTTTTGGACCAGAGTCGCGTGTGGGTGGCGGTGTGGGAGATGCCTGTGCTGAGCTCCGGGCGTGTGGGGTGCTGCGTGCGGGGCCCGCGTGTGTCCCTGAGTCGGGGTTCGCTTGCGTCAGCACCCGCTTCTCCTGGGAGCAGCATGCGTGTCCGGTGAGGGGTGAGCCGGGAGGGTCACCTGCCGTCCTCTCCTGGGGCTGGAGGCCGGGACCATGGCCTGCCCTCGGGGGCCGGCAGCCTGGGCCGCGTCGCCTCCCGGCTCCCCTCTTTGCTCCCCGTGCTCGAGCCCCCGGCCTCTTTGCTGCCGAGCACGTGCCCACCCGGGTGTGAGGTTAGAGCCGCCGGTTCCCCGAGCCCACCCTCGCTTCTGACGCCAGTTATAAGTTTGGGGTCCCCAAGGCGACATGGAGGTTTTGACCCCAGAAAGACTCGCACAGCTCCCGGAGCGCTGCCGTGCTCTCAGCCGTGCTTCGTCACGGTGGAAGGACACAGGTTAAAACCCGCCGAGGGGGGAGGAGCTCAGGGCAGGCCCAGGAGGGCACCGTCCACTTGCCTTCTGGCGGCATCGAGGACAGCGTCACTTAACTGGCGACGATATGACCATGTTCTTCGGGCACTGCCCGCCAGGGAAGCTCCCAAGCCTCGTGGTCCGGAGTGTTTAGGGGAGCACCACCCCGTGGGCGGAACCGACTGCCCTTGCGGCCGGCTGCCCCCAGCCCTTCCGCCCCGATGGACAGAGGGTGACCCAGAGCCCCCATCCTGGGCCACGTGGGTCCCTTCTGGCAGCCCAGGCTCCCGCCCCAGGTACCCCGTCTGGCAGGATGCCCCGGGGACCTGAGGCGCGGGCCAGCCTGCGCTCTGGGCAGGGTTAGCGTCTGCACCTGTCTGGGTGCTCCTGGCCCCCAGGAGCGCTTCCCCCCGGGCGCTTCGCACCTCCTTGCCCTGCCTGGTCTCCTCCCCTCCGCTCCCTGTGGCCTGGCACCTGGCTTTTGGTCTGGCCTGTCTTCCGCCGGGTCCCCAGGGCCTGGGCGTGTGCCCGCACGCAGCGATGCTGATCCGCACTTGCAGGACGGGGAGTGAACCGACGGGGGCGGGGGGCGGGGGCGCTTGTGGATTGGACGCTGACACGGGGGGTCCCCGGAGTACGTCCTGGGAACCGGGAGTGTGGACGGCCGGTCTTGGTGGTCCCGCGGAACGCCTCCATGCCCTTGACCTTCGTGATTCTGGCTGCTTTCCAGACCCCCTTTCTGCCCCGGGGACTCGCCTGGTCCAAGCCTCTGGTCGATCGTGTCTGAGGAGGCCTCGGCAAAGGGCACCTGCCCGTGGTTCTTTGCAGGGATTTGGCTCAGAACCGGGGTTTTTGGTGGGGAGTGTGGACCACGCGCAGGCCTGAGCGGGTCTGGGGTGAGGTCCGCTGGCCACGTCCCAGTCTGGGCACCCGAGGGACCCTTCAGCGGAAGTACGGTCATCCCCCTCCTTTCCTTTCTCCGTTCTCCGTCATCTGGTCTTTTTCACCTCTTGTCTTGACCCCTGTCCTGTCTTCCTCTGTGGAGCTGGCCCCGCCAACCTGCTGCCGCGGAAGTGTCACCGTTTAAGATACCGTGAGCTGCCCTCTGCTTCCTTATAAAAGACAAGCCTGGCTCGGGCTAAGCCAGCTCATAAGGACGAGGCTGTTCGTTCAGAAATTCTCTTTGAGCGTCTGTTGTGCATAACGCAGTGTTAAGGGGCGAAGGTGGGCTTGGAGTCTGGCCTCCTCCATTCACATCCCGGCCCGGATTAAAAGCGGGAAACGTGGCGTCGTGACCGTGACGGAGGCTCCGTTATCGCCGTGTGGCAGGTGCTGGGACGTGAGCGCGTCCCGGGCGGTGCGGGCATGGGGGCAGAATGGGTGGGCCTGCGGTGGGAATCGGG